TGTTAGTCAGTTAGCTTGGGTGCTTGACTGCCGTTGTGAGGTCAGAACGTTCGGATCAACCCTACTCATCGGCCAGAGCATCCGGTGTGCGCTCTGAACGCTCCGAGAGCAACAAGTTTTGAATTTACGAACAGACAATTTGACAGCACAGTTGCAGTCACGAACCCTCGGATCAACCCTTGAAGAGATTGGTGGGGCTAAAGCTTAAGAGGGTGTGAACGATGCTGAATGGGTGTAGACAAAGAAGGGCTCTCCAGTAGTAACACCAAAAGATTCATAGGCCATTTTCTCAAAAGTGAGTTTACAAGTTTATCAACATTCAAAGCAAAATGACTTTCCCATTGTTCCTGAACTGTAGTGTATGATATACCATTTTGTAGCTCTGAGTCTCTACTTTTATCCAATGTAAAAAACACAATTTCAAATTTTGCTACGTAAGACCGATTTGAGCCCGTCGGTCACATATAGTGTCTTTTAACAGCTGCAATTGTGTAGTAATGCTACAGATATTTCTAGAGCTAAATCCTTTTGTTACAGGGAGAAAACAAGGGGGTAAATTGTTGGTTACTTCAAATCAAATCACATTTTATTTGTCAAATGTGCCGTATACAACAGGTGTAGACTTTTCTGTGAAATGCTTACTTACGAGCCCTTTCCCAACAATGCAGAGTTAAAAAGTAAGAAAAATTAGCTAAATAAAAAAAGTATTCAATCTGAATAATTGATCTACTATATGTATCTCCGGAGGCATGAGTTTATCACTGTAAAATGAATGTTGCTTACCTTAGGCAGAGAATATTTCGGCAGTTTGATTTTGAGGAATGGATCCCTCTGGTAGGACACATAGTAGCTGGCCTGTCCTGCTGTAGTAACCTGGAACACATTGAGCCAAGACACTGAGTATTCCCTTTGTGTTCACTTCTATAATTTGTCCATGTTGCACATCAGTGACTCATTGTTGTCAACATGAATGAACTACTTGGATTAATCTAAAACCTTCATAAATGTATTAATCATTACTCATCTTGCAACCTTCAACCAAGTGAACATGCATGACATTATTTATGATTTAAAGATATACACCGAGTGTACAAAACATTAGGAACATCTTCCTAATATTGAGTTGCACATCCTTTTGCCCTCAGAATAGCCTCAATTCGTTTGGGCATGGACTCTACAATGTATCGAAAGCGTTCCACAGGGATGCTGGCCCATGTTGACTCCAATGCTTCCCACAGTTGTGTCAAGTTGGCTGGATGTCCGTTGGGTAGAGGACCATGTGGGAAACTGTTGAGCGTGAAAAACCCAGCAGCTTTGCAGTCTTGACACACTCAAACCGGTGTGCCTGGCATCTACTACCATTCCCTGTTCAAAGGCACTTAAATTATTGTGTCTATGTCATGGAAAGGTGTTCCTAATGTTTTGTACACTCAGGGAGGAACATTGATGCATAAGGAATTTAAATGGCTAGCCAGCATACAGCGGAAACTGGTCCTCTCACGTCCTCTCCTGTTGTCGATTCTCAGTGGCCTGTCTTAGGAAAGTCATCCTTAATGATACCAGCTCCTCGGCAAGTAAACACTCGAGATGTTAGCTGCTGTTAGCCTATGCAGTACAAACACCGCCAGCAGGGAAGAAAGCTTTAGAAACCTTTAATTAGAGCACAGGCTTCAGAGGCTATCAGGATAGGAGAACAATTTTCGGGAACAAAAGTGTGATTGTCCTAGCGTCAGCACAAGGGAGCAATTTATTTAATCCACTTCCTCTTTCGTAAATCCATTAATCGAGAATTTATCCACAAAACAAGCTGCTGGCTTTCTGAGTAGGAAAAGGGGGAGGTGAAATAGGTTCATTATTATATGACAGAACCAATTAGGCCTCTTAGTGTGATTCTAAGTGTACTGGTCAATTGGAGGGAGTGAAGGTGAGGAGAGAGAGAGAGAGAGAGAGAGAGAGAGAGAGAGAGAGAGAGAGAGAGAGAGAGAGAGAGAGAGAAACATTGGGGAGGGAAGATCAGTGGGCACAGTGAGCGTTCGCCAGAAACAGTCCCAAGTGCAACTGAGTTAAGAAGCTCAAAATCGATGGAGAGTAACCAGGGGCGGTTTTGAAATTAAGGAGAAACTGGGATGATGGATTTTTCTTTCCCCCCTTTTGCAGAATCCTTTTGTCTGTGACACAATGCAAGAATACATTGTAGGTTCCCTGAATTGAAGATGCGGTCGGAGGTTCAAGTTGAGTGGTTGTGGGTTTAGTTAGGGAGACGTATGAGTGTGACCAAACATGGTTGAGGGATCTGGTAGACCACAGATCTATTTTTTCCAACCATTATACTGGCAGGATGAATCCAATCATGTGTAGGGCTAGGAGTCTTCCTGAACATGTGACCTGACTATGAAGTCTTGGCCCTGCGTTGGCTACAATTAGATGCCAGAGTTTTTCCAAGGCATTATGTGTAGGGTAAGTAGTTCTTCCTGAACCTCTGACATAGGCTACTAGAGCCTAGAGTTTTCCTGGTTAAAGATTTCTCTTGACAGTGAATAATGAGGCTATTGATTGTCCCTACGAGATATTTACCCAAGTCTACCTCCAAAACCACAAAGAGCATCGACAACAGGAGAGGACGTGAGAGGAGCAGTTTCCGCTGTATGCTGGCTAGCCATTTAAATTCCTTATGCATCAACGTTCCTCCCTGACAATGAAGTATACACTGAGTGTACAAAACATTAGGACTCCAGACCAAACAAATCAAAATATATTTTATATTTGAGATTCTTCAAATAGCCACCCTTTGCCTTGATGACAGCTTTGCACACTCTTGGCATTATCTCAACCAGCTTCATGAGGTAGTCACCTGGAATGCATTTCAATTAACAGGGGGGGGGGGGGGGGGGGGGGTATACAGAAGATAGCCCTATTTGGTAAAAGTCCATATTATGGCAAGAACAGCTTTTTGGTTACTACATGATTACATATGTGTTATTTCATAGTTGTGATGTCATAGACTATTATTCTACAATGTAGGCCTTTGGAGTTACATTTGGATGGAAAAGTTATTTATACTGGACTGGATTGGTGGGATAATTATTCATATTTTCCTGATTACTTATAAATTCATGCGTCCTCATTTGCACAATGTCAAAGTAAATAGTATTCAGGCAGTGGGAGGGAAATTAAAACATAACCCCAAAACCGCACCAGTATTACTTAGAATTCAGTACATTAACATTTCAGATTTGTCTCTCGCACAAATTATGATCCCTAGGTTTCACATCTGAATCAGGACAGTGTGCAAATGCAGACTCTCAAATGAAGGGTCAAACAAAAGGTTTGCATATTTTACATACAGTACCAGTCAAAAGTTTGGACACACCTACTCATTCAAGGGTTTTTCTTTATTTTTATTATTCTTTACATTGTAGAATAATAGTGAAGATATCAAATCTATGAAATAACACATATGGAATCCTGTAGTAACCAAAAAAGTGTTAAACAAATCAAAATATATGGTATATTTTAGATTCTTCAAAGTAGCCACCCTTTGCCTTGAGGACAGCTTTGCACACTCCTGGCATTCTCTCAACCAGCTTCATGAGGACTGCTTTTCCAACAGTCTTGAAGGAGTTCCCACATATGCTGAGCATTTGTTGGCTGCTTATCCTTCACTCTGCATTCCAACTCATCCCAAACCATCTCAATTTGGTTGAGGTCGGGTGATTTTTGAGGCCAGGTCATCTGCTGCAGCACTCCATCACTCTCCTTCTTTGTAAAATAGCCCTTACACAGCCTGGAGGTGTGTTTTGGGTCATTGTCCTGTTGAAAAACAAATGATAGTCCCACTAAGCCCAAACCAGATGGGATGGCATATCGCCGCAGAATGCTGTGGTAGCCATGTTGGTTAAGTGTGCCTTGAATTCTAAATAAATCACAGACGGTGTCACCAGCAAAGAAACCCCTACACCATCACACCTCCTCCTCAGTGCTTCACGGTGGGATCATCCGTTCACCTACTCTGATTCTCACAAAGACACGGCGGTTGGAACCAAAAATCTCACATTTGGACTCATCATACCAAAGGACATATTTCCACATGTCTAATGTCCATTGCTTGTGTTTCTTGGCCCAAGCAAGTCTCTTCTCAAAGGACTATCAGTTGCTT